CATCCCTCAATCATTGAGTCGATGCTTTCATAGTTTCGCCCAGATCTGAATATTTAGAAGTGAAGAAAAGCAAATCCTTTTGCTTTCAACATACTCTTGTGACGAGTTTAGGGCACCACTTTGAGAGACCTTGCACAGAGTGTCTCAGTTGACTGCAGGTAGACGTGGAGCAGAGGACAATCTTTGTTTCGTTAATCCTTAAAAATCGCCTGGAAAAGCGTCATTCAATGGTTGACCTAAGGCAAAGGGCTTTCGCCTGGATAATCAAACATTAGGCGTTTTCGATATTCACTCATCACCTCAGCAGGGTCTTTTTGTCCTTTAACATCTGATTGATTAGCGTCAGCGATAGCTGTATTGCTTGAATCGCGAAGAGTCTTAATGAATTGGCTATTGGTTGCTCTTTGAGTGTTCCGAAATTTAGTGGTATTTGGAGCTCTGCATGCACCCTTTATGATCACCGTAACGCGATGGATTATCGTTTCAACTTTTATTTTGGCTTTCTGACTCATTCTGGGCTAAATTTTCCATTTGTGTTTGAGCATGGAGACAGTGTTCTGACATTAATGGACTCGGTCTCGGTGTTGCTTAGCTCTACGTCCGAAAGTAATCAGGACAAGTTTTTTCTGAAAAAATATTCTGAATTCTTTGCTGGCATAATCATGCTACAATCTAGTCAGCAGCCAATAAACGGATCCTCCTTGCCCTCCTGCCAAATATCGTTTTGCACAGAACCAATCCAACAAGTAACTCTGTCCAATTTAAAATCAGCAGGCAGATTCCCAGTTACTTTTCAGAAAACCGAACTACCCAAAGGTTCTGCTGAGCAAGTGGAAAAAGCATCGCCACTGTCAAAGGATGCCTGGCCGAAATTCAAACTGACCGCTAAAGTTCTCCGACCAAGTTTGTTTATAAAGGATATGGTGGCATTTATGATGCCCTTTTAAACGCTCAGGCTTGTCTGTCTGCTTGAACATGCTGGACAAATTCAGTCGTGTAGCAATGACAGGTCAACCAGTTTCTACCAAATACTGGCTTTCATGCCATATTTGAGCCCTACAAATTATGTCTCCTAATACCAAAATTTGCGCACTGGTTCTGATTATTTATCTCCCCAATCTTCTGCATCTCTCGCAGTTTAAGCACCTCTCTTTATCCTCTTTTACATTATCTTGTATTTCTCCTTACTTTAGCCTCTGCCTCTTGATCCCATAAGTGCATTAATTAACCTTCCACTCCCTTATAGCATATTGTTTGTTTTAAATTTCAGGTCATATTCCTTTACCTCCTTCTAAGTTGTTGGTCATTTTGATACTCATTTAGATATGACAACATATAAATTTGAGCTTCCCTTTCTTTGTGCCCTTTGCCTACCTGACCATTGTATCCAGGCTTTCCTATTCCTAACATCACAATCCTGAGAAACGGAGAACCTTTACCTGAAGAAGTAAAATTGCGGGCTATCACCAAACCGGGTCTTCTTGAACTCTCACTTGAGAACGCTACCAGGGCGGATTCTGGGGCCTATGAGATCAAGTTCAAAAACGATATCGGAGAAATGGTTGTACCCATGAATATGAATATCCTTGGTAGGTTTTAAGATAACAACGTAAATGTAGTAAATTTTAAGGCAGGACTAGTATCAACGTAGTTCTACGATAATATAGCTAAACTTAACATTGTGCAAATACATCATTTTTCATTTTTTGTATGTAAGCCTTTTTGAAACGTTGGTTCGGGACTTACTCTTCTGTTATTTCAAAAAAGAAAACCTTACGGATAGATTTTTTAACACTAGTAGACTTCATTGCAGCAAGTTTATTAGCAATGCTCGCAAAAATACATTATAAAGGATGTTTTATTCTTAGTGAATAAAATCAATATAAATATACCTAAAGTTTATAAAAGATTTTGTATTTTCTGATTTGATAAAGTTAATTATATATATATATATATATATATATTCGGAGGATAGAATACTTTCCAATTTGTACATATTCGATGAGTAATCAGTTTATAAGGACTTTAAAACCTTGATAATATAGATTTGCCTTCTTTAATGCTTCATGTATAGTACTTATGATTCCATTTTATTTGCTTTTCGAACTCTATTCTATTGTTAATCCCCATGTATGAGGAAAATTTTCAATGACCTGGAAATATGCGGGAAAAATGGATTGCTTATCACAAATAAAATAGGCTACAGGCCCATTTTCAAAAGATTTTTTTGAAAACTGTACGTTTTCAGTCAGCTTGTAATTTGTACCATTATAGTAGTTCTACTGGAGAACTAATGCATTTGCTCTCCAGCTTATTGTTTTTTTTCATCTTTGACTCTTATAAATAA